CATTAGTATAATGTAATGATACAATAAAACTATACAAACTAATTTATATATACTAAGTCTAGATATTTTTTTATTATTCTTGATGTAATACATAGGATTCGTTTTTTTCTTCAAGTTTAATAAAGATTTTTTATTTCCATTAATAGAATGTAGATCTTCGCTAATTTCTACAATGAATATTTTAGCGTTAACAAGCTATACAAATAAAGTATATTGACATTTAAATAGTAGATTTTTTTTGTAAACTTCTAATTGTTCTCGTTTTTTTTTCTTATTGTTTATATCGATAGTTTTTGTTTAGTGTTACTACTATGTCATTATTTTTTTTTAATGTGATTAATTCTTGTGAAAATTTTGATAATGAAATAATAGTAAAAATAAAAATATAACATATTTATACTAATTATGAGAATAATACATATGAATCTTTCTAGATTATTCAAGAATCTGATTCTAAATTATTATGAAAAGAATTAAATTTAAATTGTAAGATTTTTTTTCACTGAATTCTTGTCTAATTAACATGATCATCTCAAACACGCAACAATGTTGACTTGTAAATTCTCTCTATTAAAAAAATTTTCCTCGTGCAAATTGATCTAAATTAGATAATCAACAAATATTATCGTTATTATAATGAAAATTAACGAAGATATAATGATCAACGATAATAACTAATAGAACAGAAGTATTTTTTTTTTCTTTTTCATCATGAACTTCTTCTACTACGTTGATTTTTGTTTATATTAATATATTATTCAAAAACCAAACGATGAATTGACAACTCATAAGAATAAATAGAGAAAGAGAATGTTTATTTGAAAAAGCCGATTGTAGGTAGGTTAGGTTATGTTGATTTTAACATTTATGTAATAATTACTCAGACGACTTTATACAGAAGATGGCGTTGCATATCGATTGACTTACCAAAGCTGGACTTGATTATTATTCACCTTCGTATTTTGCTTATGATTTATGTATAAATCAAACATGACTAGTATAGAATACTTTAATCTTCTGTAGGGGTATTAACTTACCACAAACGAAGAAAAATGATGATTCAGTCACGTATGATATTCATGCTTAGTGACAACTGCCCGATCGTCGTGCCAACGGTGTCAGGGATAAATCTGATCTACTTCGTTTGTTGATTCAAAAACAAAACATTTGAAATAATTAATAACACACAAATAATGTCTTTTGAATCAAAGAATCGTTTACACAGTAAATATAATAGTTATGCTAGCGATAGTACGAACAAATCTGAAGAATGAATTTTTCTTTTTAAAGATTTTCTTTTCAATAAACATTATATTTTATTTAAAAAAAGTTAATCTTCTCTAGAGTCTCAAAAATTTGGCCATCGAATCTTTTTGAGCGTACATTATCGCATATATTCTAATTCTTACAATAAATACTGTCATTATTCGAATTCATAAATATGTTCGCTGACTGTAGCAAAGTTTTTGCGACATTATCTTTTTTTTTAAAATGCGTCTCGGCTCAAGAGCATAGTAGAAGATTTCTGGATACTTCAAAAAATGTTTCATGTAATACTCTATCAGAATTACGAAATGAAATATTTGTGTCCGTTTTTAAAAACTCAATAAATCACTAGAAGTGAATATGTATTATGATCATTCTACTTTTCATGAGAAGAAATGTGAGTCAATTTCGATTTTTTTTTTTACATTGAATGGTTTATTCATTCTTGAATACAAGATTTGAAAACAGCAGGAATAAAATTGGCCTTCTAAAGCAGCAAGGATTTCACTTATTTAAAGTTTAAATGCAAGATATTTGTCATATTTGTATGCAACTATCATGGTGCTACATGCAAACAAAGAGATTTTTTTAGTAACTAGAACGTATACTTCAAGCATGTACTTAGATTGAAGTTCCAAAAATAATCAACAGAAAACAATCACTGATTTCTAGTAAAAATATCAATATTTTGATAAATTCTTTTTTTCTCGATGCTAATAAGTACAATGCTCATCTTTAGTATTCCATCGTAAGCAATGAATTTAATGGTTAAAACTGTTAATTAATAATTTGTGAATCTTCAGATTATTTTTATTGGAAAATGGCATGACAATAGACATGTTCATCTTTGAGAATCTATTGGAATTTGAAGAACAGTTATAAATATTCGATTCTACAATTTTGATAGAGTGTTATATGGCGAATCTTATAAAAAACGAATAAACTTGTCGTCATGTTTCTAAAAATAACTTGATTTATTTATTAAATTCATGAAATATCTTCTTATAAGCATCTAATACAATGTCTATGCCATTGATAAAGAAAACTTTTTACATTAGATTTATGCTCATTTGCTTCGTGTTAAAAATATATTAAGATAAATTACAGATTGCAAGATTTTGATTTAAAATCAATACCTAGATGAATAATAGTCAAGGTAATAGATCTATTCATGGAGTAATAGACTAGACTGGATTGTTCTAGTTGACCTTTTTGGGCAAACAGTTATATCATTACATGAGTAATTATAAGACTCTATGCAAGTGCTGATATAGATATATCAAAAATTAATAACAACATGGATCATAGTCAAAGGTGAAGTAATATATATGTAGAAAAAGAATTTTATATTAATTTTTTCACGAATGCATGTACATCGATAAACATTTTGCTGTTATTGTTGTCGTCAAGAACTTTATACAATTTTTAGAACACATCACGTATTCACAGGCAGTAGACGAAAGCATCCAAAACGAGCAAAAAGACGCTTGTAAACGGTCGTATATGACGTTTATACGACCAACTTAAACGAGCTTACGATGGTTATTATTCTTGGAGACTTGCTCGTTCGAATATTTCCACCCTAGGATAGAAGATCATCGAACAGATTCTATCTAAATTTTGAAATAAATGATCTACAAGAATATTAATTCAAAAATATAAATTCAATCATCTAACGAGGGAGAGTCCCTAATTGATCCATTGCTTTTAAGTCGGAACTATGTGCATCATGTATGTCATAGCGAGCTATGAATACTGTGAAAAGAGTTCGGGCTGATAGCTTATTACTGTTGAAATATTGCATTTTTACGGTATTTGTTAGCTCAATGCCGTGATCTCCCTCAGAAACACCAGAAAAAATGTATTTTTGAATTTCGACTTGAAACTTTACACAGAGACAGACCTTAATGAGAGTGGTTTATTGGGAAAGTTTCAACTTTTTCGAGTGCTCCTAACCTGCAATAAGAACATCAGAATCTGCCTCTGTAAGCGATGTGAAAAACATACCTAATGAAAAGAACACAAAAAAAAGGAAAATTCGTTCATTCATCACTGTTTTGTTTTCATGGTGACGATCATGTTTAACATATGTTGTCATGTTTTACGTGGACGGTCAATCTGAAGAGATGAAAAACAAAGATTCGTTCATTACTGTATATAAAAAAAGAGAGTCTAAATACAAAAATACAGAAATAGTCGGTTATATGAATATATGACGTTGTTTACATGTGTCGACGATCTGCCGGATCTAGTATTAATCGAGCTCTTCTCATATCTCTCATCTACCGATATACTATCGCTTCCAATTGATAGTGATGGATCTCCACTCCAACTAACTCGTTGGTCTTATTTGCCTCGTTTGAGAACTTTGCGTATCATTGGTGCATACAATCATAATCACCTTCTGCTCTTTGTTTTACTTCATGCAGTGATACTTACTCATCTTATCATCAAATCAAATGAAAGAATAGTTCCGATAAGTATCAACAATTTGTTTTTAATACATGTAGAACCATAGGAAGAAGCAAAAGCCTTTAAGTCATGATTGAAAATGTAATACAGTTCTGTCTTCAAATTTATTTACAGTTTTGCTAAAAAATAGAAATTGTTTTTATGAATAGTAGAGTGTTAAAGATGCAAGTATTGTCATTATTTGAAAATGTTAAACCAATCAAAACTTGAACCGAATAAAGTTAGACTAGAAGTGACAGGAAACGATGGATTCATTCTTCTTTTAGATATAACTCAAAATGAAATAACTTTTTTTTTGCAAAAGAAATTTCTAAAAAAAATACAGTCAAATTTCGTTCGACAGACATTGTCAAATTCAATAAAATCAAGAATAAAAAAAATATTGAGTTCAATACTTTCAAGAACAATGCAATATACAAATCCACATGTAATTCAATCAAGTATTTGACTAAAAATAACTATAGAACTATGATTCATGTAACTAAAATACTAAAGATTATCCTTGTATTTATATTTTGACATAACCATATGAAATTATTTGACTTTTCATTGAAGAAAAGAAAATAGAACTAATCCATTCATCAAAGATCATTTCGCATTCGATAATACATTCTAATTATCATGACTACAAAGTTTATGATAATAAACGAACGTATGATTATATAATGAGTTTAACTCATCTATAATTATTGTGTAAGGCTTGTCACCATTCATTTGAAGTTCTCAACAAACTTTTTCAAAAGTCTGGATTTACGTTAGTTTTCACAGTTCTAACTATATTTTACTTGAATAACTGTTGTAAATATTTATACTTTTGAACCGAGCCCTATTGAAATTTTTGTGAAATGAAACCTTGAATAAGACAATACCTCCCAATACTAATGTACAATATTACACGAATATTTTATTTGAATTTCGCAGTTTCTATCGGTCACGACAGATTAGTTGAAAATCATTTTATTTGAATCTGTACCTTTTCAAAGATGTATTAATTATTGTTGCAGAGATTATGCCTCAAGAAATATTATTTCGAGAATTAATTCATTAATGAAAACACTGCTGTTTTGAATTGTATGCTTAATTCAACTGGCATCAGCTTTAATTTTGTATTTTATGATAATTAAATACGGTTTCTTTTTTAGAATAGTCTCTGGATGGAGTATAAACATCCGGTAAATGACATAACAATGTTAGTGCATAATATTCTTCTTATTCATTTGTCTGCATTTCGATCTCTCGACTTTGGTTTGAATTATTACAGGATGGGATGGCCCATTACTATATATGTTCCTCTTACCTATTTACGTTTAGCTTTAACGTTCATGGATGATTTAATTCGTATTATATCGACAACACAACTCTTCTGTGCATTACATCAATTACATATCACGATTGATGATTGTAACTACGACGAATATTGTACTGCAACAACATCTAATCAACTGATTCGAATGGTCAATTTACATACATTTACTTTTTTAAAAAGATTTTTCTCAACTTTAATAATTGGATGGACATTGATCGAAATTCTGACATCGTCCAATATCATGCCTGTTCTTCAACATGCTAATATATCGATTTTCATTAATATTAGTGATTTAAATCATATTAGTTCGTCACCACTATTCACTGATTATCGTCATGTTGATGTTCATTTTGCCTTCAGTCTCATTTAATTGTCCTCAACATTTCGAATTGACATAATATATACCACGTGGTAATCATTTTCATCTACGAGAAATAGTCGGTGCAACATTTGTTGTTAATTACTGGTTGAAAAATCAGAATCGCTCACTGATGGAAATCCTTGTGTAAGTTATTGTTCAATTATATATCTGTTCACATTTAGATTTAACATAAAATATTAAAAAAAAGACGATCTTTATTTTTTACTCGATAATTTAAGTTTCATCTAATAATACATTTTATATATTCCTTAAATTTATTATAAGCTCGTGCGGTGATCAATATTATCATCATATGTGATATACTCTTCCGTGGACATTTGATAAATTCTTTCACGAAGCATATATTCCGTACAAAAGGATTACTAAAATACAAGTGTTTGAAATACCTTCTCGAAAAATTATAACAATCGGTCAATCTTTTCTTCGTTCACTCAATACATCAGAATCAATTTTACCATCATCTATATTCTATTTACCACATGTGGCATTATCTAATTGTATTGAAACTGCACTTCGGCATATGAGTTTTATAAATAGTATTAATTGTTTGAACTGTTATTCTTCATTTCCGAAAACTATTCGTTTTATTGATATTCTGCTTTTTTATACTTTTCTTATCTATATGCTATCTAACTGGTCGATGGTTTCATATTTATGTTCAGCATTGTTACTATTGAGTTCGTTACGAATATCTTTGTATGACTTACCAAAAACTGTCGATGATAAAAATTGTGAAATAATCGCAAAGACAATATCATTGTTCAGGAATTTTAGATTTTAGTTTCGACGAAGATTCAACTTATCAAATGATGATAATTTCCTTTCTGTGTTCGATGACCATAGAAAATCTATTAAACAATTATGTCGTCGTATTCTTTTGTTGTCCCTTGACAAAAAAATCTTATTATTCAATTGAGAAGAAGGGTTATAGACTTACGACGTGGTTTTGATTAATAGATAAATTTGACAAAAAGCATTGTCTAGTCTAATGAATGTAACTGAATAGTTCTTTTTTTAATAAATATTACAGAGGTAGAACAAGTACAAGTACCGCAAATTAGAGTAATATAATTGTACTTTAAAAATGTACTTGATACTTTATCTATACTTGAAGCGAATGTTCTTTTTTTACTTATACTTAAGTACAAAAAACATTATTTTATACTTTATCTTGAAGGTATAGATAAAATAAATTTTGTCAATAAGATCAATTAGCTATGATAGGCGTTCAAACACTATCGTAACATCATCTAATGAAAAAGATGACAATAAAAATGTTTTAATGAAAACTTTTAGTCTAATACGCTGATTACTTTATCCCGTGTCTCTTGCAAAAACTGTCTATTTTCATTGTCCAAATTTCTTTAAAACTATGATGGCATCTTAAAATGATGATGGTCGTTTGATTTAGTGTCATGACAAAATATAGCTCTCCATAAGATTGAGAAAAATCTACTTGAATTCAGATCCGTTGTTTATAACTCAGGACAAATTATTATTTGGCTACGCTTTTGAATTATCAATAGAATCTTTAAAATATTGTCTGGCGAGGCTTTTTAACACTGAATTTTGATGGAAGATCCTCGAATACATCTTAGAAAGTGCGGATGTGGGTGTGGGTGGGGTTTGGGTCATATCTTCAGCCACATCCACACCCTTGTTGTCCTATGACGAAGAATCACTTATATGTATATGATTGTTATTCTCTCGAGAAGAACAAAACATTAAGTTAGAATAACTTTCAAAAGTAATAATTAGTTGTTAAAAGCACACAAAATCATAGAAGGTTCAATGATTGAGCACATCTGTATTTTATATGTTCACTGAGAATTTCAAGCAATGCGCTGGAATATTTGTATCCGATGATTGTCTGTATCACTTATACACACATTGAATGAAGAATCGAGTGCAATGTTAGATGATGATGATAATATAGTTGGCGTCGATCCTGGTGTTTCGATGCCACTAATAATTATACCATTTGTACTTGGTTTGGGGATTGCCTGAAAAGTTGAATACGATGATTGCCTTCATCGACGAGATTACCTTGCGAATCACGTGTTACAGAAGCAGGTTTGTTCAACGAGCTGCTAGTTGATCCTGCGATACCAGCCGAATTACCAGCAACCACGGTACCTGCAGATGTGTAAGAGGTACTTGCCGGCCGTTTGACAATCACATTATGATCTATATTCGCAATATACATTGTGTCATTCTCATCAGCAACTAATCCTTGAGAATGTTGAATTTCACCTGCAGATCCAGCTTCTTTACCGGCCGCTTGTGACCCATCTTCGTACAATTACATTGAGACCATTATCGCAAACGTATATCTTATTATTCCTCACATGAACACAAGAAGATTTGTCCAGTGCTGTTCCCCAACCTGAAGAAGCAGTAGTAACTGTGCTACTGCCACTAGGAAAGAATTGAATGCGACCGTTACCCGCATCAACTACGTAAAAGTTTTGCATTGAGTCAATAAAGACACCATTAGATTTAGAAAGACGACTGAAACTTGAACCTGGTGAAGCTGTAGCACCATCAACTACTACACTACCTATGGCACCCGACAACCATTTCACGATGCAGTGGTTTTCCATATTGGCGATATAGAGTGAACTATCATTTGGATATACATAAATACCTATTGGGCTACTAAGTTGATTTAGAGCACTACCATTCACATCGGTAACACCCGCAACTAAGGGTTTAACTAAACCATTATTTGTTCTCTTACTCAAGATCGTTTATTAAACAGAGCGCGCTGTAGTCCATATTGCCTTCCACGAATGAACATTCAAATGTGGACTTTTTTCTTCGTTTCAGAGCATCATTCTTCACGACAAAACATCTTTAAGGTATCACTAATTTTAGGGGTGTGCATTGGTTGTCATCATTCTCATCTGATTTTAGTCACTTTCATTTCTTGAACGAATGGCACTCTCAACAGGAACTAATCTAGAAACTTTTTAAAGCTTATCGAATATGAATATTTATTTTCTATTTGCTTATTGTTCTCACAATATTTTTCACGGTTAATCACAGATTAAGTTTTTGGTTACAAAAAAAGCAGCTAATTATGGAAAAGCATGACATTCGAAACACAATTATCATAAAATTTGATATTCCATTATTAAGAACTCGAAAATAGATTCAAACTATTTTGAATTCTGTTATTAGGAGCACGACAATAAACAATGAAAAATATACTTTCCTCCAAAACGCTAAGAAACTATAAAATACACTTCTCATACCTGTTGATGTTCATTGAGGTGAACTAATCCAGAGTATGAGAACGACAGCCAATATAATTCCTCCAAGTAACATAGCAGGAACAGCGTCTGTTATGAAATATTTGAAGTAGAAGCCTGAATGTCGATATCTTTTATCAGAACTGAAAAAACTCGTTGTTTAGAAAAGCTTACGAAAAGTTTCGTTCAGCACGGTTAACGTATGTCAAGCATACCTTTTACTCATATCTTCATTCTCCGAAGCATGATTATTCGGTTGATTACTTTGTCTGCGGAGTGCACTATTCGTCTTGGGAGTTGGTGCCGATTCAGCAGAACAATCTCTTAGAGGTGTCGATTTTATCTATGATTGTAATGCAGCAACGTGTTTCTCAACTGTCTAAATGAATCTCTTTAAGAATTTTTTTTCATCTATGGAAGTCGCCAGTTGTTTACGATTTCATTTGTCAATAGAGAGACTCACTTTCAAGATTCGATTTTAATATTATTCTCACATGATTAAAAAAAACGAAGATTCAGCTTGAATACATAAAATCCTCATTCCTTTTTTTCGTCGCCAACGCCTCAAATGAACTTTCAGCAAAAAAGAAATGTCCGAATACGTTAAAATGCACAGAAAAATAATTATTTCAAGCGACATATAACAAATCCAACAGAATTATTGCAATTTTTAATATATACTTCATTTGTTAGGCAAAGCCAATATATTAATAGTGGAGACTCGGAATCAATGTGAGTGCCACATAGGCGTCATCTGAATATCGAATGTGCCTTTGTAGAAGTGGATGGAGTGAATAAATTAATAAGGATGTAGACTACGTTAACGACTATATCTGTACACCGATACATGCCCACACTTCATACACTCACTTCTGTTAGTAAAATATAAAGTACAACATGATCAATTTTTATATAATCTTGCTTCTCTTTCTAATATTATGTTAAATCTTTTTTGTCAAATGCTATTGGTTATACTTCTTGGTAACTTTCAAAAAGCAACTAGGGATTATTAGTACTTCTTATAAATAGAGGAAAAATTTATCGACGAAGCAACATATTTCCTGCATTGTCTTTAATTAGTTGATCAAACGGATATGAACACTCAGAAAAAGATGGGCAGTGGAGTGTCATTCTAACATGCTTTGAACTAGTATTTGACACAAGATAGAGTATTTCTTTTTAATCAAAGAAAAGTGACGATAATTTATTTTTCATTGGTAAAAGCTTAGAAATACTTTCGACTATTCACAAGTATTGAATGAAGTTATAAAACAGTATTAAAAGTTCATTTTGAAATTTTCCATAAAATTGATATGGATACTGAATGTTCCTTAGAGATTACAGATATTCAGCAACTAAACTTATTATTAATTGACACACATCGTCCATTTTCTTCACCAATACATTGGAAAAATCTCAACATTTCATTCAAGTATTTATTCAATGAAGACAATCAATAAAAAATGTATTGCTTTGATTGAAGTGGTACAAATAATACAAAAACAACATACAATCAGTTTAAATTATCAAAACAAGTAAAATTCGAGAAAAAGAGCAAACATTCGAAGAGTAATCTTTCTCATTTCATTATTAAATGTTGTACATTGAATTGAGTAAATTAAGCGCATTGATGAAATAATCACATAATAGCAAACAACAAATTCTATTTCTAATAAATATTCTAATTATGAAAGTATTGGATATAAGTAAGATAAACTCTTGAGAAGCAAACAT